GTGGGCTCCTGGGAGGTCCAGCCTGGGTAGTCGAAGCCAATCTGGCAGGCCCAATCTGGCAAACGGGGGCAATCTGGCGAGGGAGCCAACGCGAATCCAGTCTGGCGAATAACCCAAATCATCCAGCTTGGCTGGGCCAGATTGGCCCTTGGGGCCCAATCCAATCTGATAGTCTGGCCTTCGACTACCCAGCCAGCGGAGTGGGGGTCCCCGCAGATCTGCCGGGACCTCGCGGCTCCCTGCGGGGCCGCGAGATGCACATCCTTGCGGTGCTGTGGACGCGAAGGATTGAAGGGGCCCCAGGACACACAAATAAATACACACAAACAAAAATACCCCCTATATTTTCCCATATTTTCTGGGTATTTGTCTTCCCCCCCAGTTCCCATATTTTCCCATATTTTCCTGGGAGTCGACGATTAATTGTGTCTGTCTGTTTTTTTCCCCTCCTGAAAGGGTTGGGCTCGGCGGCGACGAGGCGGGGACGGGGCGGCGACGGCGGCAACATGGCTGCCGGACCGCGACCCAGGCCCAGAGGACGGGCGGCGGCGAGGCGGCGACGGATCGGCGACGGCAACAACATAGCCGCCAGATCCTCCTCCTCCTCCTCCTCCTCCTCCTCCTCCTCCTCCTCCTCCTCCTCCTCCTCCTCCTCCTCCTCCTCCTCCTCCTCCTCCTCCCCCTCACCCTCCTCCTCCTCCCCCTCCCCCTCCTCCCCCTCCCCGACAGAGAGGTCCAGACGACGGGCGGCGACGAGGCGGCAACGGGGCGGGGACTTCGGCAAGAGGACCGCCAGATCGACAGACAGGCCCGGTTCCCCAGAGGAGAAGCAAGAGACCCTGCAAAGACATGCAGGAGAAGCAAAGAGACCCTGCAAAGACGGAGCAGAGTCCACTACTTAGAGAAAAATAAGACATGCACACTGAAAAGGAAAACCGATTGCACTCGAAGTGAACGTCGACATGCAAACCGAATGATACTTCCAAATGGAATCGAAACATAAAACGGGATCCAAACCGACATGCAGATATGTCGAGATGACAATCTAGCTGCCAATCAAATTACACTCGACCTATACATCGAACTGGTCTTGCAATCGTCGTTCAACTCGACATGCAAATCGAAACAGAAACTTAACCGGAAACATAAAACCGGGAAACTACATGCACGTCCAAATGCAAATCACACACCTCGAAATGTGATCGAAATGCTGAGCATCGAAATGTCAATTCAAATGCAATGGATATGTATATCGGAATGCACATCGACATGCAAATCCAATTGACATGAAACGCCAAATCGGAATGAACGTCAGAATGCGTGCCGCCATGTACATCGACTTGCAAATCGACATTCGGATCGAAATGCGAGGCGGAAGGCGGCTCGAAATGCAAATATGCAATCTCCTCACCCCGCCCCCACTCCCCGCAACCCCTCACATGTAGCCCGAGGGGTGGTAGGTGAGGTCTCTCTTCGACAGCCCTCGGATCGAACTGCAATTCGGAAGGCGGCTCGAAATGCACATATGCAAGTTCCTCACCCCCGCCCCCACTCCCCGCAACCCCTCAAACATAACCCGAGGGGTGGTATGTGAGGTATCTTCTCGACAGCCCTCGGATCGAAGAGCAAGGTCCACAGGTCTCCAGGGGTCCTCCGGCGGCCCCCATGAGCACCTGAAGATCCTCAGCTAGCCTTAGGTCGCGCATGTCCTCCTACAGGCGGAATTTGAAAGAGAAATAAAGACGCAAAAATAAACAAACAACGCTCCAACATAGTCAAAACATCGTCCCCGTACTAATTGTGGGGCTATGTTTGACTATTCCTCCGGTTCGAGGGACAGGCCCGACTTAAAGCTAGCCCGTGCAGACCCGACGGTCGCCTCGTGCCGGTTGTGGTTGATCTGCATGGCGGACACTCTCCCAAAACGCCCGAAGTACTCGTTGAGCACGTCCTTTCGCGGCACCCTCTCCCAAGCGTCGCTAAAGCAATCCCTCCCTGGTCCAAGGTGTCCGGCTTATCGCTCCATTTTGGAGCCCTGGGCTGCCTTGCCTCGTGAACGGTGCTCTGGAGGCCGCGGGGGCCTTCGTGGAAATCCCGGGGACACCTTAGACCATGGACCATTCTAGCAATGACCGGCTCTCTCATTTATCCCTCCAATTCCACCGCTCCGTCGACGTCGCGGCCGCCATCGCCGTCGAAGTTCGTGGGTCGAGCCTCGAACACATCACCAGTCGGTCTCCTCTCCGTGTATCCCTCTGCATACTTCTGGCGTGTTGACGATTTCTATGCCAGCGCCCCGCCATGTTCGGCCATGGAAGCGTCGGGCATGCGGGTCGAAATTAACCCAGCACGCGCCCAAACCACCTGCAACGTTGCGCCACGTAAACAGGGCCAGCCGAAACGAGTGCGCCACGAAGTGAAGCGATAATGTGCGCAATCTGATATCAACGGTGCAAAACCCCGTTGCGATGCGCGCCCGAGGGGGCACGGTCTGGGAAGCGCCGGACGATGGGGAATACTGGAGACAAGGATACTGAATGACGACGACAGTGAAGAGGAGAGAGCGGAAGCGCGCGGGAAATGGAGAGGGCCGTGCGCGAGGCTTTGTGCCTGCAGTAATCGAACGAAACGGACGTAAGCGGCGCGATGAGGGATGAAGACCAGCCGCGCAACGTCCGAGGCGTCGATCATGCCGCTGTGCCCGCGTGTGGTCGTGGCAGGGGCTGGTAAGGCTTCGGGTTGCGCACAGGCAGCCCCCCGAGGTATTCCTCTCTAGCGGCAACCGGCGACCCGGTCCCAGCTGGCCTCTACAGGCTCCCGAGTAGCCAAAGGCGGTCTCAAACACCACAACCCTGTGCCGCGGGACGCCCCAGAGGCGAAGCTGCAAGCGGCGCCGGGGTGTTGAGACCGCCCTGGGCTGGGAGCCCGAATGTTCAGTCTCACGGCGAGGCCTTCTTTGGCTCCCCGTGAGACGCTGATCCGCTGGAGCCCCGACGGGCGCAACAAATATTGGCGACTGTCGCGCGCCTGGCAGCACTAAGGGTCGGCGATGCCTCCTGTGGGTGGACGCAGGGCTGCTTCCCGCTGGAGCTTCACGGGCGCTGCGCAGCTTATAATACGAATAGACAGCACGGTCCGATCCGAGCCCCCTTGAGGCCGCTAGCCGCTATACGATCCCCACGGGCGCAGCAAAATTGCGAGAATTGCGCGCCTGGCAGAAACCAGGGCCAGCGAAGTCTCGCCCCCCCCACGAACGCAACAGTGCGGGGCGACCGTTGCACGCCTGGCAGCATTCAGAAATGGCGAAACCGCGTTCCACTGGACCATTCGGAAGATCCAAGGGACTACACTGGGATGTCCGTAGGCAATGCCCATAATCAATTGCGCACCTCCTCATAATGATAATACAAATAGCAGCTCATTGGAATACCGAGTGCACATAGGTAAGCACTGGACACCCAACCTGAATCGATTGGAACACCTCGTTTGGAGAACAATGCCAAAGGTCCCATGGCGCGACTGCAGCAGGGCAGTCCTCGCGCAGAGTCTGACGTCCCCTGAGCACCTGTGGAGTCGAGAAAAACAGATGCGCCAAAAACTGATGGGGAAGGCTACCGCCGGGAACCGCGCCACGGGAAGGTCGCTCTCGCCGTCTGCAGCTGGCTGTGGGAGATTGGTCGAGGCAAACGCGTTGGCTCATATTGCTCAGATGTTTCAGGCGCATTCGACCGCGTGCGGGCGGAACGTCTGGTGGAGAAACTCAAAGCGAGAGGTGTGAACGACATGTTCCTGAAGGCTTTCTCGTCTTAGCTCGCACCCGGAACAATAATATTGCTGTTAGTGGCGTGCTTTCAGATTCTGCTCCACTTGAAGATGTGGGTTTCCAGGGTGCCGTGATTGGTCCACCATTCTGAAACGTGTGTTGCTCTGACGCCCGGGAGGCAATTTCACTCTTGGGCTTGGTTGAAGCGATATCTACACATGATTTGAACTTCTGGTGTGTGTTCAGCCATGCGTCCTGGGACCGCTCGGTGCTCGAATCTCTTTGCGCCTGTCAATATGCTTTACATGCGTGGGGGTCTGCAAACAAGGTATTGTTCGAGCCGTCGAAGGAGGGCATACACATCTACATAAGGTACGAGTAGCCCACATTGCGGATCATTCCAAATACTGAACGTTATTTCGATCCACGCCTGGAAATTACTTTGGCCATGCGGCACTTTGCCGCAGAAGCCGGCTGGCGTCTCCGGGCTCTTCACCGGACAAAGCGCCACTATGGTGTGAAAGAGATGGTCAGGTTGCACAAATGTCACGTCCTGTCGAACCTGGAGGCCGCCACCCCAGCGGTCTACCACGCCAAGAGGAACATGTTGAAACAGTTCGACGACTTGCAGTCTTGTTTTTTAGACGAGGTCGGCTTATCGGCAGAGTCTGCTTCGCGAGAGCACAATATTGCCCGCTTGGTATGCGTCGGGACATAGCAGTTCTGGGACTGCTGTACAAGGTTACTTCAGACTTGGCGCCTCCTGCTCTTGCAGCACTGTTCCGTCCAGCTGCGGGCCATCTTGAATCGTTTGGCTTCGTTCCCGTGCAGACCTTCCACGGAAAAGGTCTGCTTGACCCAAACTAGCCGGGCCATCCAGCTATTATACGACGATCTATCTTTGGCATGATTCGAGCGTTCAACTGGTTACAACACCATGTCGTCAACAATCACCGTCCAACTATTTCACAGGAAACTTCCATCGAAATCATAAAGTCTTCGGCCGGCCGGCCAGGCTGGTAAGAGATGTTTCGCACAGGCTTGTACGGATCAGTTTGACGCCTTGTGTTCGAGTGCTGTGAGAGTTTGTCGTAGGACGATGGACGAGAGCGACGGGCCCGAGGCAGGCAGAGGGGGGGGGGACGTCATGGGGGCGCTATCGGGCGTCGTCGTGAATCCGAACTCTGCGCAGCTGGTCGCGCGAGCACAGAGCCAATTGACGTAAGCAAAAAAGCCTGACAGCAGAAGGGTCACAGGGGACACCTTCCCGAACTCGAGTTGGCTGCCAGGCACCACTCCCCCCCCCCCCCCCCCCCCGCAGCTCTCTGCTCTCTCAGCTCGGAGGTGGGGCGGCGAGGGGCTGGGCAGGGGTCACTCAATTTGGTCCCTCTGCCCATCCCGACGGCGTCATCCCCCGCCTCCTCCCCCTCCTCCTCATGCTCCTCCTCCTGCCCCTCCTTCTCCTCCTCCTCCTCCTCCTCCTTCTTCTCCTCCTCCCTCTCTTGCACATCCCGCTCCCTCCAAGAGGTCAGGGAGGAGTAGCAATAAAAGGCCAGGTAGGAGAGCCAGAAACATGATGGATTGGGGGTCTTTTCTGCAGACGTCTCAAGCCAGCCCCCCAGACTTATTATCCCTAATGCAAAGACGGGGACCTACGTGAGGCCACGCCTTCACTCTGTTATTAGGGCTTGGGCTTCCTGTTTCCTCGATGAAGGGGAGGGCCAAATACCGCCCCAAAAATATCGATCGTCGATCCCCCTCCTCTGAAGTGCCCAGGGGCCTACCGAGTCGGGGCAGCCTGGCGTCGACGGAGCGCTCCCGCTGCTCGCAGGACGCGCCCCGTCGCAGCCACTGCCAGGCCGTCTACCGAACCGACGCTCCTCGTGAGTATGTGCACGTCGCCTGCCCTAGCGGACGCCCCGTCGCGCTGTCAATCGTCACTACCGAGCCGCATGCCTGACTGGACAGAGAAGAACGTCACCAGCCTCGAACTTATCCCTATCCCTGAGACTGACACGCCAAAAGGCGATGACAATCTTAGGGATGCACCCTCAGGATCTGAGGGAATCTCTAAGATCGACATCGTGATGAGGCGATGCCCACCATAGGGACAGGGATATGTTCCAGGCTGGTAAGAGCGGCCTTTGGCCGTAACGGCTGCCACCACCTGGGAATCAAAAGCGTGAAGAAAACGCTTGCTGGTGAGTCTGATGTTCCCGGTCTCCTTGACGACGCAGTTGAGAAACGCTCGAACTTCCAAAACATTGATGTGCTGCTTCACGTTCCATGCTTTGTTAAGTTCGGGGATGGACAGACCTCCCTTTAGTAAAACGTGGTTTAGTGAAAACGACCTGAGGCCCAAACCTGGCGGGCGCAAGCCTGGAAAATGACGGCCGCGGCGCCCTCTCGAGAACCGAAAACGCACACTTCACTAATCGACGTGTCACTGTTGGGGGTTCTGTCCACTCCCGATAAGTACTCCCTGGGCCTCTGGATTCGTCTGGAGGCCTCTGGGGAAGGATCCCGCAGCACCGAATCGGGAACTCGGATCGAACCGAGGTGCGCGTCGGACCGAGCTGCATCGGCATGGGATCGACATCGAACCAGATCGGCTGCGCCAGGACGCGCAACAATGCCACACAATCATACCGTCGGGGCGTTGACCTAAGGAACCCTACATAAAGAACGAGGCCCCTTTTTTCCATAAGTTAACCTTCGATTTCCGGTCGAACGCATAAGGAAAGCCTGAGGCAAGCTGTGAAACACTCAAGGAACGCGGAGCCCCGCCCCAACGAAAAGGGTTCCTGCTTCAGGGCCCCGACTGTATGGCCGCACCAGGCCGTCGGAACATCGGAATCGAACCCTGCGCATGTGTCCTCAAAACAGTGCTTGCGCTTAGGGGGTCTTTCTGCTCTTGCTAAGGAACTGGATTGGGCAAAGGCGCTCGGCCACTACTGTCTACACTCGTAAAGCGAGCCCAAACGGTACATCAAGTGAACATGCAACAGCATTGTTTCCCAGACTCGCCGAACATGTAAATGCCGTCTATGAGTCGCGGATCGAAAATGCACATTCCAGCAAACTCAAACAGGCCACACTGCCCAAACCGCATCCCCCCAAAGGGGGGTAGATTAGTCGACGCATGCCCATCCCAAAACTGGTTCGGCTGGTGGGCGGTTGGTGCCCGC